AAACACAGACCTGTGAGAGCGTGCACGTGGACACAAACACACAAACATAGACCTGTGAGAGTGTGCATGTGAGAGCGTGCACGTGGACACAAACACACAAACACAGACCTGTGAGAGTGTGCATGTGTATACAATGGGTGTGGGTGGAGTGTATTTTTGCATTAGGGCCTAAAAAGACCATGCTCAGCCTGTAGGCACTTTGTCCGAGCCCGACCCAATAAATGAACTGTAATTAAAGGCCCGAACCTGGAAAACAATAAAAGGACTTTTTTTTTTATTAAGTTTTTACTTATTTTGTAATCAAATCAGTTTGATAGGATATTTAAAATAATGTAACTAAAGGAAGATGCAAGATTTCTTGTTTCACCAAATGGATGAACAAAACAAATAGCCTAAAAATCAACTTTAGGGCTCGATAAATAAAGATCAACTATTAAACAGAGGAACAAAAGTATTTGGAAAAATATACAAGAAGACTATTTTAATTGAACGCGCAGCTCGCTTCGGCTTTTGTTGATGGTGATACTTCTTCATCGCAAATGACGGCAGGGTGCGGAGCGGGACACGCACGGCCAGTGATCCCATGATCCATCTGAAGCTTAACAGGACTTCTTTTTTTTTTACCTCTTTCAAGCGGCCGGTCGGACCTGAGCGTGCACGTGACTAACACACATCGGCAGGTTTCACTGTTCTGGCTTTGTAGAGGGAGTTCTCCAGTTTTTAGCGTTTGTTTACTACTTTCCAGCTCCATTATGTCGCTTGTTGTGGGTCAATTGAAAATCCTCAGATGTGATAAAAGCAGGGTGGGCAGGGCCACATGCACAATTGTTGCGCAATACGCCAGCTACACTCTCTTTTCACAGTCTGATTAACTGCTGTGCTCCATTTTATTTATTTCTCATCTCAACATATAAACTTACTGCCTCCTCCTCTACAAATAAACACAATTTTATGTTGTGCATTCTTATTTATTTTTCTTTGTGCTGTATGATTCGTAATACTGAATCAAAAGCCAGAGACCGACCTGGCCCACCCATTAAGCACATCATTTTGGCTGGACCCAGCCCGAATTTCAGATCAGGTCGGGCCAGAAAACGCAGCTCTTTCTGGGTGGGTGGTGATGGTGGTGTGAGGGTGGTGGTGGTGTGGGTGGAGGTGGAGACATGTCGATGTCCAAATCAAGTGATTACAAATCAAAGTCGTGGATGCAGACCATCGGCCTGCCGGAGGCCGCCTGAAGGCGTAGATGATGGAGGCTCTAATCGCAGCTCATCAAACTCCACATTAGTGGAAACCTGAGGCCTAACTGGTTTTGAGTGTCGTTTCCGTCCAGCTCTGAGCTGAGCCTAATAACAGGAAACATGCTGCAAACACACATGTGCACCGACAGGAAGAAGCTCCGGGTATTCGGTCCTGATCTTCTTTGTCTCTCCTGCACTCGCTCAGCGTCCAAACAAGATTCAATAAATATTATTAATTAAAGCTCCAGGTTTCCAGGTCATCTTTGTCTTTGAAGCTCTCACACGTTTTGTTCCTCCTTGATTTTGAACAAAGGGTTAAACTTCATGTTCCCTACAAAAGTTTGTATTTAATAGTTTGACACAGTAAAGACTACAGTCCCCATCAGGACCTAAATGTTCTGAAAGCACTGATGATCTCACTGCACTGACAAGAAAATTAACAAATACGAATGTTTAAAAATGTAATCTATGATGAGTTTACATTAAAAACCAACGAATAAAATATAACAAAATTATTGGACCTTATTGTTTAAGCAATTATTATTTTTATCATTTTTAAATCTTCACCAAAGGTACGACTAAGTTTGTTGAAGACCTCAGATTTAGGCCTAGTTAGCCTGTTTAGAATTAAACCCATATTATGCCATGTTTTGCATATTTATTTTAAATATTTTACAGAAAATATAAAATAACATAAAAAAATGTAATTAATTTTCAGGGAATAAAAATTTCAAATTCAGACACTCGGGATGGAAATCTGTCACTTTAATTAAAGGCTCATAGTTTTAGACTAAAATAATCTGGTTCTGTAAAATGACTGCGAGAGATTAAGACTAAAATAATATTTAATCTTAAATGATGGAGCTGCGGCTGATTTTGGTCAAAGTGCGCTCGATGTCTTGGAATATTAAAAATGTCACAAGCAAATTGGGATGATTCCAAACCTTTAGCTCAATCTCTGAAAAATGACTGAGCTGTAGCTGTTCTACGTTGCCTAATCTGGATTAGTTTGGCTGACTCCAAATGTTTATATGTTTTAGATGTCCGTCCAGTAATTATTGAATTCAACTTTAATTAAAATCCTTGTAGTGGTTAGATTTTAGATTTGTTCTTTCTGTGACTTCTCAGATTTTGGGGACAATGCTCCAAATTTTAGCTCCATTTTTGTAACAATGACTGAGTTAGATTTTAATTTGAGCAGCACTGACTCTGACTGTCCCCCAGTGTGTGTGTGTGTGTGTGTGTGTGTGTGTGGGGGGGGGGGGGGAATCAGTGAATCGACAGCACAAAGACACACAGGAACATTTCACACAATAAAAGCACACATTTGAGACGGAAATGATTTTAAAAATCTCATGTCAATAGAAAAACAATAGAATGCAGCAGGGTCAGCTGGCTGAGGCAGCCATCTTGAAACCGTTCATCAGTTGTTCATCCAATCATTACATTCTACAAATTAAAATTCATCTCGTGCTTCAAGAGATTTTTGACAACAGACAGAAACATGTTGACCTTTTAAATGCTGAATGTGAGCGTCCTGTCGTGTTGGTCACCCACAGTTTTGACCAAAACTCACAGAAAACTGAAAAAAGTACTAGTTTGAGCTGTTTCCTGTCATTTCTTTTGCAAATACTCACTTTAACTTTTTGCTTTATTTCTATACTTGTTTATTTTTTCTGCAAAAAAAATGAAAAAAAAAATCACACAGGTCTGCATAATTTATATTTGTTTATTTATTTAAAAAGAAAAACTATTTTTGCACCTCTTTACAAGAATCTAGTGTTTTCATTGGTCTTAAATTACAAAAATAAAATTATTAAATATTTTCAGCTCTATAATGTCATACTGTCCATGAAGTCTCCTCCAACAAACCTAAAGTGGCCCATGGGCCACCACTTGATAATCACAGTTGTAGCAGGTTGTTGCGGCTCTGGACAGTTTATTTTAGTGAAAGAAGGTGTGAAAATGGCTCAGTTGATCATAAAGGTTGCAGCAGAGTTACAATGAGGGTTCGGGTTCTGAAGTGAAAGGGAACCAGAATCTGGACCCAACTCACAGGCCCGCGGCGGCCCGCAGCGGCCCGCTGCCAGCAGTCGAAGAGCTGCCATCAACGAGCTCTGTGTGTGTGTGTTTGTGTGCGTGTGTGTGCGTGTGACAAACGGCGGGGAAACTTGTGATTCCGGTCGGAGGTCTCCATCAGCCGACAAGCCGAGCGTGGAGTAAACACGCGCCTCATTTTTAGAGCGCGTGATTGTTTCAATCGAGCCTGCGCTCACTTTTATTTGTGTAAAGCGGATCCATTTCATGTCGAGCCGTAATATAATAATCCCGAGCTGTCATTATGGCTCAGATCTGTTGTGCGCCAAGCTCCGCGCGCTCTGCTGCGCTTATGAGAACCAGACTGAGCGCGCGCACCCACACCGCGCACAACGACAGCATTAAAGAGAAAACAATTCTTTAACGAAGGGACTCACAAAGTAAAGTTGAAGAGAGGAGCAGCGAGACTCGAGAACATATTTCTCATGTTCTTTAAGAATCTGTTCTGAACAGAGAGAATAAACTCTGGATACACGAGATGAAGATGTTGCTGCTTTTAGAGGAAACACAAGTCCCTGCAGGCCTCCAAACCCTGAGGCCTAACTCTAACAACAAATAGAATCTGAGAACGGGATTGGGATTAATTCGGATTAAAGCTTTAATTAGAATCAAATTTTCTCCAAAGTGTCCCTCCTGGTGCTGAACAACCATCCTGCTGCTTCTTTTGGCTTTAGTTTAACCTCAAGGTGGTAAAAATTAATTCAACATGTTTGATCGATGTTCTAAAAGTCAAGAATAAAAGCTGCTTCATTTTAGGGTCACCATGGCAACCACCTGTGTGTCCTCACTCACACATGAGATGTCCTCAGAGGAGAAGTTTTATGTCTGCAGAGTTCAGAAACTTCTGATCCCAGATCAGTTTGATGTTGAACAGAAAACATTGTGTTGTGTAAAGTTTGTCTGTAAAGATGTTTGTAGTGAGTGACATCATCACACTTTGTTGAACATTTTGTAGAAAACTTGAACTCTGTTAAAATATTAAAATATTTAAATGTGAGTTCAGTCGCAAGATGTTTCTGTGTGTTTGAGATGTTTGGCAGAAGGTCACATCTTTGATCAGTTTTCTGCTCGCTGCACGCTTTGGACTATTTTAAATCTCTGAAAGCTGCTGGACAGGAGACAGAAGCAGCAGGTGAAGAGTTAAATGATCCCTGGATCTTTCCTGGATCCACCAGCGGACAGTCTGATTGTCGCAGATTGATTCTGTAATAAAAAAGTGGAGTGGCGCGTGTTCTTGTTCTTCTCAGACAGATTTGGTTCAAACACGGAGGATCACGGGTGGATGTTTGTCGCAGCGCAGGCCGAAGTTTGGAGGAATGCGCGCGCTCTCCCTCCCTCTCCGTGACGCGCGCAACGGAGCTGCACGAGCTGCTCTGCAGAAAGGGGAGGAAGGAAAGACCGTGACAGAGGGAGCAGGTTTGTGAGGTGGAGAGGCGTGCCACTAAAAAAGTTTTTTTTTTTTTTTTTTTTTTGGATGGGGCCACTGAAGCGCGCGCCTCACACAACTCATGGATGCGCACTGAAGCGGTTTTTACGCAGCGTCCCAGAGCCGCGGCGAGACAAGAGGGACTCCCCGAGTTTGTTCTGCTCCCACTCAGCTGGGACAGTGAGGGAACTGTTCGGTGCGCAGCTGGCTTTGGAGGTCCCGGAGGTGCAGGATGCAGAGTCTGAGCTCGCGAGCTCACGCCTTCTCGGTGGAGGCGCTGGTGGGGAAGCCCTGCAAGAGGATGAAGGTGTCCGAGAGTCCTGGACGCGACAGGAGCTGTCTCACCAGTAAGACACGAGGTGGCTCCTGGATTTAGGCCAGAAACCATTTTTACGCGCAGTTTGGGAACACTTGCCATGTTTGATTGATTTTAGAGCTTCACGTCATCAGGCTGCGGAGCGCGTGCTGTTTGTAAATATTTATTTATCACTTGTATTCTCCTGTTGCACTTTTCAGGTGAATATCCCGGCAGTCAGGTGAAGAAGGCAGGTGGATCCGGTGACCCGCAGCCCCCCAGACCTGAGAGCGAGGACTGTGAGCCGGCCTGCGCGGAAACCGAGCCGCTGGCGTGCGCGTGCAGGCCGGACCGAGAGGTCCGGGTGGAGCTGCAGGGCTCCGAGCTGTGGAAGAGGTTCTACGAGATCGGAACCGAGATGATCATCACCAAAGCTGGCAGGTAAAAGATGCGCATCAGATCCACGCAGATCCCACGCACATTTCGTAACAAATAGTTTAATCCTCGTGGGTGAATAAAGTCACAGCTTTGCTGCGAAATAAAATAAAACCTTTTTTTCTATTTTTATTGACGTGATTCGAATGAAAGTTTTTAGTCAAATGGAAACAGGAGCAGGTCATGGCTGTTCTGCTCAAACATGAAGTTTAACTTCAGTGTTCAACATTTGAAATATTCTGTCACATTTCGTCCTTAGTTTAAAATAAAATCTAAATGTTCGGGGCCAGGTTCATGATTTTTGAACGGATCTGCGCGTGATCACATTTCTCCTGCAGGAAGAAGAGCTGACAGTTTGTTCAGCGTCACATCAGCAAATCAAAGAAGAATAAGACTTTATTTTATAGCACCTTTAAAAACAGGTGTTACAAAACGCTTCATATTCATCAATTAAAACAACATCATTAAGAAACTGAAAGAGTTTTGTGCCCGTGTTCTCTGCATGCAATAAATAAATAAATAAATAAATAATAAATAAATTAATTAATAAAAACAGGAATCATTGGGGTATAATTTACATGGAGGCCTAGGTCTGTTTTATTACAACTTTATCTTTCATTTATTGAGCAGAACAGTGGCTCAGTTGGTAGAGCTGCAGCCTGTCAGCGAGCAGGTCGCTGGTTCAAATCCTGGCCACGGCCTTTAAGGATGGAGTTTGCATGTTCTCTCCGTGCATGCGTGGGTTTTCTCCAGGTACTCCAGTTTCCTCCCACAGACTAAAAACATGCATGTTAGGCTGATTGGTAACTCTAAATTGTCCCTAGGTGTGAGTGAGAGAGTGAATGGTTGTTTGTCTCGTTTGTCTCTTTGTGTCCCTGTGATGGACTGTAGACCTGTCCAGGTGTCCCTGTGATGGACTGTAGACCTGTCCAGGTGTCCCTGTGATGGACTGTAGACCTGTCCAGGTGTCCCTGTGATGGACTGGAGACCAGTCCGTGGTGTACTCTGCCTTTCACAGTGAGTGTTGGATATGTGCACCAGTGACTCCCGCACTCCAAAAAGGAAGAAGTGGGCAAAGATGGTAAAGATGGACGACATTTATTGATTACTGTCTGCAGTTTCTATAGTTTTTTTTTTTTTTTTAATTTGAAAATATTTTTGGGGACGTCCTTCCTGGTGGAGGAGTTTGTGTGGCTAAGCTTTTCTGTCCATTCTCCCAGAGCAGATTGGTTCAGGGTGACAGAGCAGACAAAGCGTGATTCACAGTTCTCCTATGGACAGATGACGGCAAGAAGCTCAATGTGTCTCACCCAGATGTGGGGTACTGGGGTTCCACCCTGGAGCCTGGTGACTGGACCTCAGCCCAGATGAACTACATGGGTTCATCTTCCTGCTGGGCTACCACCTGCATGAGGGACCATATGGGTTGAGTGCAGAGGCCTTGATGCTCTGAGTCCACATTGCCAGCAGTAAGATGGACACCTTCAGGGTTGGAGTTGGACTTCGCCATGTTGCCTTGATTCTCTTCATAACTACTTCTGTAGAATTTCTTGGTGCAACCAGGTGGTGGAAGGGGTCAGTTTATGTCACCTCATGATTCTGTTTCTTCTACTTGCAGATGATGTGGTTCTGTTGGTTTCATTATCCCATGATGTCTTGCCCTCAATGGAACAGTTCACAGCTGGGTGTAAAGCAGCAGAGATGAGGATCAGTACCTCTGAGGCCATGGTCCTCAGTCAGAAAAGAGTGGACTGCCCTCTCTGTGTGGGGAGTGAGGTTTGGCCTCAAGTACATTTTAAGTGTCTCTGGGTTTTGTTCACTATTGAATGGAGCATGAACGATGGATTTGTGCAGTTTCTCCAGTATTCCAAACTCTGTGCTGGCTTGTTTTGGTACAAAGGGAGCAGAGCTGCAAGGTGAAGGTCTTTGTTTACTGGTGGGTCTACATTCCCATCCTCACCTGGATTCACAACCTTGGATAGTGACTGACAGAACAGGATCGCAGACACAAACAATCAAAATGAGTTTTCTCTGCAGGGCAGCTGGACTCTCCCTTAGAGATACAGGGTGAGACGTTCAGTTACCAGGAGAGACTCGGAGTAGAACCGCTGCTCCTCCAAATCGAGAGGAGCCAGTTGAGGTGGTTCGGGCATCTGGTAAGGATGCTCTATGGACACCTCCCGAACATTTTCAGGGCATGTCCAGCTGGAAGGAGACTCCATGGAAGACCCAGGACACGCCAGAGAGACAAAAGCTCGGTTGGCCTGGAAACACCTTGAAATATTCCTGGAAGAGCTGGAACAGGTGGAGCTGGACGAGGTGGAGATGGATGAGGTGGTGTGGATAGAGATGTCTGGGCCTCCCTGCTCAAGTTGCTGCACCCACAACCCAACACCAGAACACTTGGTATAATAGATGGATGGAAGTTATTGGGTCAGAATGCTGCACTGTAACTCTGTGGGCCTTTCAGACCTCGGGGTTTGGAGAGTTTATTCTGTTTGTTTCGTCTAAACATTTTTAAAAATTAAAAATTATTTTTCTCTTATCAGGAGAATGTTTCCTTCTGTGCGTGTTAAAGTGCGCAACCTGGACCCATGCCTGCAGTATTACGTGGCGATGGACGTGATGCCCGTGGACTCCAAGCGCTACAGGTGCACGTTAAACCTCCTCCAGTATTCTACCTGCTGCCCATGGTCCTGACTGACCCCGGTGTGTGTCCCCCCACGTGCATCAGGTATGTGTACCACAGCTCGCAGTGGATGGTGGCGGGAAACACAGATCACTCCTGCATCTCTCCACGCCTCTACGTGCACCCAGACTCACCGTGCACGGGAGAGACTTGGATGCGTCAGGTGATCAGCTTCGACAGGGTCAAACTCACCAACAACGAGATGGATGATAAGGGACATGTAGGTAACTGCTTCTTCCAGGCTCTGGAGCAGAACTAAAGAGACACGTCTGTCCACAGACTTGATCAGACGTTCATTTCTGAGTTGGAGACAGGCAGAAAGTGGACGTCCTTCTTGGACGTCAGAAACAAGTCTTTCTGTGTACACCACAGATGTGGAGACCTGAGAAATGGAAGGAGGCTTCAGACCTTCAGACCTGACATCCTGGCGTTTATAAAAAAAAAAACATAAATCTGTTCAGATTTAGACATGAAGGGAAAATAAAACCCAGCTCTTAAAAAGTTGTAACTTCAGCTGTTTGCTTAAAGTTTACCCCCTTTTAATAATATGTTCTTTTAGGTTTTAAAGTTTTATTTTCTTGTTAAAAAAAAGTTTTCAGAATAAAAACATCAGTTTTAATGCATATGAAATTCTTTTGAAAAATATAACAAACCAAGGAAAAACAAAACTCTAATTTATACTAAGAAATATCTTGAATTATGTATTATTTTATTTCTTTAACACAAAAAAACTCTCAATTCTTAAAAGGAAATATGTATCTAAACTTTATTTAGATAAATTCCCAAATTACTTTATATTATTATTATGTTGTTGTATAACATATTACTATTATATATATATATATA